AGAGAGAGAGAGAGAGAGAGAGAGAGAGAGAGAGAGAGAGAGAGAGAGAGAAAGAGAACAGTAAATGGCATTTACTACTCGTAAATGGCAGATAGAAATTATCTATTGTCGCTAAACAAAAGTCGAATTTTGCGCACACTGGCGGTGAGGAAAATCAAAACATATTATTAAACATAAAACCTGTTGGAGCATAGTTCGTGTACCTATGAAATAAAAGTCTTTTGATATCTCCTTTATATTCGTTGAATGTTTTTTATCTGATTTCCCCTTTTTTACTTTAATGTTTTCACTCTTAAGACTTCTTTGTCAATGTTTGTTGAAATACGGAACCTGTTCACCTTCACCGTAAATATTACAGTAGACTTCGGTTTCTAGAATGTCTCCTTGAATGTCCTAAGTTAAACCCTGGAACACACTGTACACAACTGTAGGTCAAATGTACAAAAAATAGGTGGTTGGCGGGTGCTCTGGTGTGGTTTGCTTCTTCTTTCCTATGAAACATCTATCGTCCTTATTCCCCTTCTTCTTTTTTATGTTTGTTACTCTCTTGTAACACCTCTAATCTTCTGAAGTTCATAACTTGTTTCAACTGTTGAAAAACTTGTTATAGGTCTCATACATCTTTAAACAAATAAAAATATACAATTACACCAGTACATTAAGAAATAAAGAGATTTTTAAAAAAATATATTCACGAAAAATATTCGCCAGCGGAGCTTTGAGCCGTCTTGTTAGTTTCGTAGACGAGTTGTACTCCTTGTCTAGTCTTCCATGCTTTCTTGAGTTGTGGGCTGTATTGCACTGACTTTCAAATTGGTATTGCTTCCAAAGATCTGTCTTGAATGTACTTTTCAAGTTTTGAAAAAAATCCATTTGTGAGGTGTGCTGACAAAATGAGTTACTTCTCCGATTTTAGCCTTGTGGAAATTGATATATATATCAACTTTATAGGTGAAGTTTGTACAATTTCTAAGTATGGAAGAATAAAAGACATGGTAGACTTGAACAAAAGGGTACCAATTAGAAATCTATAAATCTGACAGCAGTGCCGATTTTCGGCCGATATGTCCATTCTTGGACAGCGAGAAGTAACTCATTTTGTCAGCACACCTCACATTTCGTAGAAAAGCTACTTGCATCAAATGAAAAAAAAAAACCAACGAAATTTTCCCAAACAGATTTTAAGTATAAATTCTAAGATTGCTTGGCAATTTTTAAAAATCAGTAGTCCCACCGACTTCAATGAGCACCAGATATATTACCGGTACACCAGCAACAAGACACACAACGAAAATGAAGTCTATTTAAAGATACAATGGTAAAAGAATCTACATTTTTAAACGCTGAATCGCTCAACATTGTTGCGTCCCTGGGAAAAAGCAACCAGTGGCGACACAAAGGCTTTACCTTTTTCGGTTGAAGCCAACGATCTGGTGAGAGATATTTTTCCTCAGAGACTCGTTGGCCAAACTCGCTTTATCTGTTTGTCTTAATGTCGAGGACATAATAGTCAACCAAACATCAATCTGCGGAAGAGTCTGAGAAGACGAAAAAGGTTTTTACAAATAGTGTTGGGTGGGGGGGGGGGAGAGGCGGGAGTGGAGGGACGGTAAATCAACCTCTGCAGACCAATCTGATGCCAACACCTCTCACACTCACATGTCAGCTTGGCAACCCTGTAAAAGGAATTTCTTTTTATGCTATATATTTATTCCCTCTTGTGACATTTCCAGAGGCTGGTTGGTCTATTTTAGCTCCTTCTAGTTCTTTTTCCCTCCCTCTCATTCCCTTTTCCATCCTCTATCTTTCTACCCCCCGTCTCTCTCCCTCTCTCTCTCTCTCTCTCTCTCTCTCTCTCTCTCTCTCTCTCTCTCTCTCAGTTTCTATTTACCTCCCCCCCTCTTTCCCCATGTCCGTCTGTTCGTATTAGTCCTCTTTTCACTATACAATAGAAGAAAATACAGACTCTTTCTTTCTTTCTCTCTCTCTCTCTCTCCCTCTCTCTCTCTCTTTCTCTCTCTCTCTCTCTCACTCTCCCTCTCCCCTCTCTCTCTCTCTCTCTCTCTCTCTCTCTCTCTCTTTCTCTTATTCTGTCGTTAATGCCTCCACTGACATTTCATCTTTCTTATTCTATTTCAGGTCTTCCTTTGTCCTCTCCCAGCCCAAGGACTCGTGATGTCCATCAAACTCTCTACCTGAAATCTTCGTCTTGCAATCCTCTCTGTTACTCGCTTCCTCTTGTTTTGATTATGTTGGTCTTTCTCATTTCCGTCATGTAATACTATTTTTTAAGTTTGTGACTTGATCTTATCCTTAAACTTTTTTTCTTATAATTTTGGTAACATTTT